CCGTATTGCGGCTGAGCCTTGTACCCATCTTGGGCAACGACTGTGGCGGCCACAGCCAGGCTGAGCAACGCTACCTTCATTCGAGGAGTCTTGGAATGGCGGCCCGAGGAAGGAAATTGCAAAATAGCAAGTTCCCTGTGCTTCTGTACTTGCCAAGCCCGAAACGACTCAAAACTTCGGCACCAATCTCATGATCCCTCAATTAATCGCAGCCAATGAAAAGCCCCTACCTGTGAAACGGACGTGCGAAAAGTCACGCCGAAAGGGCGCGGTGAAATCGCCGAATGTATCACGACGTCTGCGCAGGGCCAAGAGCCATGCGGCGTTGGCTGTGTCATGCGCTCAACGCGACAATTCCACATTGCCATTGAATTGTCGAAGTAAGCGAACTTTTTCTGCCCGTGGTATAGGCAAGTCGTCTCCGTTTTGGATAAGCGCGGGTTCGTCGTCGTCGATGCGATCCGCTTCTACGATGTTGTAGGAGAGCCAACGCGCGTAGTCCTTGTTGGCGGCGAAATCGGCCACACGGGCGTTGCCAGCATGGTCCTTCAACCACACCTTGACGTCGTCGCACCACTTGGATGCAAATGGAATCTTATTGCCCTTGATTGCCGCTGTGAACACGTTTGCGCAGTGCTTGCCCCAGTGGATCCAATACGGGATTTCCGAAAGTTCGAGCGCCGACACCGCCGCGTCGACCGCTGGGATGTCGTTCGTGGTGAAGCTAAGGTCTGCCCGGAACGGAAGCAATTCGCCGTTGTAATGGTATCCTGTGTTGGCCTTAGACGTGAGGATCTTTTCGAAGATCGCGTCTTGAGTGTTGTACTTGTCGGGGACGCACGTCGGGCGGTCGGGGATGTTCTTTGGCTCGGAGTACCCCTTGTATTGCTCGACGACTTCTTGCTCCAAGTAGCGTTCACGGTTGGGACGGCCGTACTTGCTGTCCCACGCGTCTTGGTACTCCTTGATGATGGTGTGATAGCTCTTGCAGCACGTCACGTGTTGTTCCCACTGGGTCAAGTGCGAGTTGCACGAGTGCGGTTCGACCCATGACGCGGCCTTGCAGTAGGGAATCTTGAACGTGATGGTTTTGCCGTCGAAACATACTTAAACGAGCAAGTAGCTGGAAGCGGCGCCTGTGGCGCGAGTTTTTAGCACGACTTGAGCCACCACGACCACGGCGGCACCAGCGATGAAACCAGCCATGGCGAGCACGCCAGTGTTGACCGACTCCAGCGCCAACATCGAGCGCTGGTAATAGTTGTTGCGGTACCCGTTGTAGCCAGGTTGGGGCTTCGTCACGTAGTCGTAGCCGGTTTC